GAGCAAGGGTTCATGAGAGAGGGGGAAGCAGGAAGGGAGGGGGGGAAATGAGCTGATATCAAGGGCTCAAGTAGAAAGCAAATGTTTTGAGAATGATGATAGCAACAAATGTACAAATGTGCTTGGCACAATGGATGTATGTATGGATTGTGATAAGAATAGTATGAGTCCCAATAAAATGATTAAAAATATATCTTACTGTGTTTTGGTGAAAGCAACATAGGTCCGGTGGTAGTTCCATAATTTCATGTGAACTTGAAGATATATAAAAGTGGAGGGGTGGGATTCAACCTGTCAATCAGGACACAGCCTGACGGTGCCTCCTTGTGGGCGTGGCCTTCCCATAAGGAGGACTTATGGACTAATAGTGGCCTTATGGACTTGACTTGCACTGGGCTGGGATGTCTTCTCGATACATAATTACTTCTTGATATAAAGTTCTTTCTTACACGCATATGAGTGTCACTGGATTTGGTCAACCCGGCCTAACACAGGTTCCTATTGTACAATTCTTGCACAAACTGTTCAGTGACATTACATTCCCCACAGTGTATCGTCATTCTCTTCCATTTCATTCCAGAGGTTTCCGTTCCAGTCACCTGGTTCCCCCGCCCCCAGCCCCCACTCCCGAGTAATTGTTGACCATTTGGTCTCACACAGATGATTCTTTAGAGAGCTACAGCATTGGCAACATTATTTTATGAGCCGGTCTGTTATTTCATGAGCTATATATACACGTGTGCATGTGTGCTTTATAGTCTCTGCATGTCTTTAAAGGAGAATCTTAGTAAAATGCTTCATCTAGCACAGTGGTTCTCAACCTTCCTAATGCTGGTGCCCTTTCAGAGAGCGCCTCATGTTGTGGTGACCCCCAACCATAACATTATTTTCTTTGCTATTTCATCACTGTCATTTTGCTACTGTTATGAATCAGGCCACCCCTGTGAAAGGGTCTTTCGACTCCCAGAGGGGTCGCGACCCACAGGTTGCAAACTGCTGCGCTAGAAGATACATATTAATTTGGGCTCTGAGAGAGTAAGGAGGCCTGGTGATGCAGTGGTTACATGTTGGGCTGCGGTCAGCAGTTTGAAACGACCAGTCTCTCTGGGAGAGGCATAAAGATGAGGCTTTCTGCTCCTGACACGAGATACAGTCTCGGAAAATCGTCCTGCCTGTGGGATGAGTCGGCATCGACTCAATGGCAGTGAGTTTTTCCAGAGACTATTGTACCTGCAAAGGAGGCTGGGGGTATACCCATCCGTTTCATGGCTAGTCCATCCCCAGAACACATGGCTAACAGTCACTATAGCAATCATCATAGCTTACACTCACAGGTGCTCGGACCATATGCCAACTTCCGCTCTAAGCTGTTCACCTGGATTCCACCAATGTAACCATGAATACAGATAAACATCGAGACAGACACATTCTGTTCAATACTTTGTGTCTCTCAGAGCCTCTGGCCCCTCCAAATTCCACTTGAGCCCACTCCTTACTTTTGAGCTTCTCCTACATCCCCAGGGCAGGCTAGACACCCGCCCAACTCCCTTTTCTCCACCAATTGCAGTCTGGCCCATTGGTGTGGCAGGTTCCCGGGATCCTGCCCTACCTCTTTCCAGTAATCTTACCATTTCGACTCTGACCTGACCTGCACCACTTGGAACCTACTTGAGGCAGAACCTCACTGGCTCCATCCTCCTCCTCAGCTATAGTCTACTGTGTGCATGACCCCCAGCCCTTAAAAGTGTGCACTGCTGCATGCCCAGCCCCTAAGCATCCTTGGCACAAGGGAGCTGCTCAGTAGATATTTGTTGAACGCATACAATTGAGAGGAATGAATGAAGAATGGATGGTCTTATTATATGAACAGAGATATACAAGGGAAGCTATTAATGCTGAACAGAGTCCCTCCCCCTTCCCCAGGGGGGCATCAGCCCCTTCTCTTGGCCCCTTCTCAACCCCAAACATACCCCCTCCTCCTCTTCTTCAGCAAGTCAGCTTTATTGGGTCCTGAGGGAGGAGGGGGAGGGCAGTGATGGATTCATTTCCAAGCGTCAAGGCAAAAGTAAAACCCTCCCTTGGCACAGCCTCACCAGCCTTCCTGCAGGTGCCACAGGAACGCCCCCCCCCCCCAGCCTTGTGAGTCTCTCTCTCTCACACACACACACACACCCTATGATTGGGTATCACGGGTGATGGGTGATGCAATGATGGAGGGAGGTTAGAAGGGGTCTGCGCGCGCATGCACACACACACACACACACACACACACACACACACACACACACACACTTGCCCTGTGATTGGACATTATGGAGTGATGGGTGATGGGCACAGGGAGGCTGTCTGCGTCCCCTCTTTACCTGGCTCTGCGTCCCGGCCTCCTGAGTCTCCTCCATCACTCTCCTTGCTGGCTGCAGCGTACAGATGCTGCTCGCGCTGGGTTCCCCTCACTCGCCCAGGGAAGGGACCTGGTGAAGATGCTCCCGGCTGACCGAGACACTCCGCCCCTCCCGGCCACAGAGTCACCTGAAGTCGGCGATGGCTCCCGCCCCATTTCCCCCAATAGTGCCTTGTGATTGGGTGTCAGCTCTAATGTCCGCATCGCCATTGGCTGGGACACCTGTCGCTCCTGAGCCCAGGCCCCAGTTTTTAAGGTGGAGTGCAGACCTGGAGCAGGCAGGGCAGAGGCGAC